CCCACCCAGCACAGCCCCCCCCCCCAACCGGCTCCCACCCGAAGAAGGAGTCACTGGGTGACATGACATTAGCCCATTCGCGGCCAGGTTGTGGGAATGTCTCCGGCGGTTTGCGTGCCTGGTTGGTCAGACTCATCTTGACCAAGACGGAGAAGCCGCCAGGGGGTATTCCACTTGCCCGTTCACCGCCAGATTGTGGGAATGTCTCATGCGGTTTGAATGTGTGGCTAGTCAAACTTATCTTTCTGTTGGGAGCCCAGTGGTCTCGGCGATATAGGAGGCGTGGCATTTGGCCGCTTCCCCATATCCTATGTATAGGGCGCCTGTTCCCCATATCCTGGATATGGGTCCTTGCTCTACATATCCTACTGCTGGAGTTCTCGTGGTTAATCTCATGCCTCCGCCTCCTTCCCGCCCCATTCCTCCTCACTCTCAGGCTCCCGCTACTACTCACTCATACTCAGACTCATCCCTCAGGCGTACTCAAACTGATATACACTTTACTCCGATAGACTCAGGCTCAGATACATTCGCAATCAGACTCACTCCTCACACTCAGATGCATGCAAGCTCAGAGTCACTCACATCCCCAGTCACTCAAACTCAGACTCACTCACATAGACCACTTTCACTCAGGCTCGCCTCGCGGTCAAGTTGTGACGACGTCTCGAACGACGCGGAGGTCTCGGCACCCCACGGAGGAGCCACCAAGGGTGGTTGAGCGGCCATGTTCGTGCCCAGAGTGTTGGAATATTTCAAGCTGTTTGCCTGTTTATCTGGTCGTACTACTCTCTTGCGTGAGCCCAGTGATCACCACGATGCAAGAGTCGTGGCATTCAATAGCCCGAAGAAGAAGCCACCAGGGGATATGACACTGGCCCCTTCGCGGCCAGATCGTGGGGATGCCTCAGGCGGTTCGTGGGCGCTGGCTAATCAGACTCATGTCTTGTGAGCGCCCAGTCATCACCGCGAGATAGCCGGCGTGGCACTTGGGCACCGCAGGAAGGAGCCCCGCCAGGGAGTAAGACGCTTGCCCGCTCGCGGCCAGATCGCGGGACGTCTCGGACGGTATTCTCGTCTCGTGACTGGGGCTCTGCTGTGGGGCCAGACCATGAGGATGTCTCTCTTAGTCCGACGAACCGCTGGTTTAGGCACCCCTAGCCCCTGTCAATCCAGAGCCCCACCGTCCCTGGGAAAAACAACCATCAAAATGATCGCGGGGCGTTTTAGCATGATTCAGGTTTTGGTGCAACGGAGACTTCGTGTAGTGTGGGCCAAAAATGATGGGGGTGGGTGACGTGGTCCCGGGTTTATCGCCTGTCGGGTGGGGGACGAACTGTACATCAATAAAGACCAGTGATCGTTGATCACTGTTCCTTTTTGAACTACAGCTTGCGCCGACTCGTTTTAAAATAGTTTCCAACTGATCGCGCGGAAACGTTGCCTGATAGTTCCCAGGGTCCGTGTTTCAATCGTTTCCAGGTGCCCGCTTTTGGCTCACAAGACACAAACGCCCAGTGCGTTTCCAAGACACACTGAGGTGAGCAAGCTACCCCCCCCCCCCGACGAACGGTCGTCTCGCTCACTCCCGCCCGCCTTCCCACAACAGAAAGAGCACCCGAGTCTCAGAATTTGCAGGGGCCACCATCGACAACCATCGTGAACCAGTGCAGACGCCAGCCAAATGCGGGTCGCCCACGAGGTGCCCCGCACGTACGCCAGGGTACCCCCATTACACCTGTCATATGACACTGCAAAAGGATCGTGGGGCGCACGCGCATTGTCCAAGATTTTGCCGTAGCGTGCGCGTGCCATTGGCTGTTGAATGGAACTGTGGGAATGCGCATAGCGTCCATTATGCCGACCTCCCACACTTGCCCCCGTCAGACAAACACAAGAATATACATTGATCACGAGGCGCAAAAACATGATACACATGCTGCCCCGAAGTGCATGCTATACTGGCCCCCATCTCCTAATTATGGGGTTCTTATTGTTAGTGCCATGCCTCCGCCTCCGTCCCGCCCCTTCCTCCTCACACTCAGGCCTCCACTAATCCGCCGGCTCCATTGAGGTGCCATCAGGCTGGCTCCGCGGCTTAGGCTTGCTGCTCTCGGGTCCAGTTACAGTTGCCAGTCTGAGATGTTACAATTCTGTGGTTTGCTTCCTAGTGTGAATTGTTGAAGTCCGCGCGAGAGTGGGGGGCCGAAGAGGGCCCTCGTCACCTTCATTTTGGGGGTTCTCAGAACAGCGCCCCCGAATGCATATTCCCTCGTAACTTACATCGTATTCGCTCCCCCGAGGCCATACTCCCTAGTAATTTACACAGTGTTCGCGTCCCCGAGGCTATACATCCTCGCGAAATGCGCTGCGTTCGGACTCTCAAGACCACCATCCCTGGTAAAGTATGCAGTATTCGCGTCTCCAAGGCAATACTCTTTTGTAAATTACAATACGCGCTACGCACCTGGATATCTCAAGTGGCCCCCGTTCGGAGTTCCGACGCTGCTTCACGACGGCGCCATAGCTCTTGCACGCCCCATTCTCCGAGAGAAGGGGCCGGCGGCACGGGGCCAAGACCTTACGGAACTTCAATCATAGCCAGACTCAGCTCCCAATCGCACTCATAGTCATACACACTGTACTCGGATATACGCAGACTCCGATGCACTCACACTGAGACCCACTTCCCACACTCAGATTCGTGCACACCCAGGATCACTCACAACCTGACCTCCTCACACAGACGACTCACGCTCAGCCTCGCCTCACGGTCAACTGGTGAGGATGTCTCGAGCGAGGCGGTGGTCTCAGCACCCCAATCAGGAGCCGCCAGGGGTGGTTGCACGGCCCCGCTCATGCCCAGATTGTGGGAATGTCTCTGGCGGTTTTCCTGCCTGGTTGATCCGGTTCATCTCTTGTGCGAGCCCAATGATCACAACGATAAAGCAGGCGTGGCACCTTGCAGCCCCCAGGGAGGGGCCGTCAGGGGGTATGACACTTGCCCGCTCGCGGCCAGATTGTGGGGAGGTCTCAAGCGGTTCGTGTGCTTAGTTGCTCAGTCTCAGCTCTGCTGACATGCCCGTTCGCGGCCAGCTTTGGGGAACACTCATACTCAAATATGCACTCTACTCAGATACGCTCAGGCTCAGATACGCTTGCACTCAGACTCACTTCGCACATACAGGTTCATGCACACCCAGGGTCACTCACACTCAGACTCGATCACATAGACCTCCGACGCTCAGGCTCACCTCGCACTCAACTTGTGAGGATTCCTCGAGCGAGGCGGTGGCTTCAGCACTCCAGGGTGGAACCGCCAGAGGTGGCTGCGCGGCCCTGTTCGCATGCAGATTGAAGGGGATGTCTCAGGCGGTGGTCATTATTGGCTTATCAGACTCATCTCTCCCGGGAGCCCGAGTGACCACCACGATACAGCAGCCGTGGCATTGAGCCAGCTGAACAAGGAGCCACCAAGGCGTATGGCACTTGCCAGTTCGCGGCCAGATCGTGGGAATGTATCAGGCCCATCTGATGTGAAAGCGAAGTCGTCACCACCATGGGTTATGACGCTTGCCCGCTCTCGGCCAGGTTGTGGGGACGTCTCATACAGTTGTCTCGTCTCGTGGCTGGTGCCCACCTGTACTCAGAGCAGATCGTGAGGATGTCTACAGCGAAGCTGGCACTCCAAGGAGGCCAAAGCAGGAGCTCGAATGAGTCCGACGAACCGCTGGTTTAGGCACCCGTAGCCCCTGTCCTTTCAGAGCCCCGAGATCCTCCCGACGTAGCAGGCACAGCATTTGGCACTCCAATGGGGAGCCGCCAGGGGGCGCGCTCAGTCGCCACAGGCTAAGATTCTCTGACTCACACACACTCGCAAACGGGAGTACCAATGACTGAGATGCACATGTGGGGATATCCGCGTTGCAATGATTCGAGATGTATGTTGACAGGGAGAATGTGGGGAAGGTGGGATTGTCCCTGGTTAGCCGCGGGTCGGGCGGGGGAAAGGGTGCTGCTCCATAAGGAGCAAAGGTCGCCCTCTCGACGAAGAGGAAGAGGGGGGGATGGCTGGAAGAGGGAACGCCCGAAATTATCTCAGCCCAGAGGGATGGTGGGATTGGCCCGCGCACCCCGTCACTCTCCTCCTCCTCCTCCTCCTCCTCCTCCTCCTCCTCCTGATCCCCAGAAACACAAGTGGCAATCTCCATCCGAGGCACCGTGACTGCACCGGAGTGTCTTATGGAAGGCGCAGGGGCCGACAGGGTAAGGGTGTCGGCTCCCCAGATGATGGGTTGGCTCGCCCTGCCGGGGCGCGTGCGAAACCGACCCCTTGCGTGACCACCCCTGCCGTGAAGAACCCCCCACCTTCGAGGCACTCCTCCGGCCGCCTGACCGAGTCTTGGACAGCGAAGTGGGGGGGTCGTCAACGGAGGGCCAGGCTTGCTAGGGGCCAGCTGGGCCGCTCCTGACCTGTACTCGTCCCTCGAATACTTCAAGCTTGTGCCGGGCTGCACCGCGGGCGTCTCCGGCGGCTCGCCAGGCGGTGGCGGCGTCCACGCCTTCTTGCGGCGGCTCGCGGCCGCCTGCGCGTACGCAGGGCTGGGCAGGTGGGGCCAGGGTCTCCCACACTGACTCTCATGTATTTTCTGTCGCCATTGGCCAGCCAACTCTCACGAGAGCCTTGTCTTTTAGTCGTAAAAATATAGTGTCGATACCAGAGCTGCCCTTGGCCCCAACCGGCCCTGGGTATTGCCCCCATCAGATTGCACCATGCGGACACACGAACGGAATTCCCCACGGGACAATCCGCCACCGTGCCGCGAGACACTAAGTGGAGTGCTCTCATGTCCTTGAGTCTTTAATTATCCGACCCCTGTCCCCATCTGCCAGCTTCCGCCGAAGACGAAACTGCGCCGAAAGCGAGGCCATTGTCGGAACACGTTATGTGGCTGGGGGGGCCCCTGTCCACGCCGCCGTTCCCTGCCCTACTCTTTGCATCAAGCCTTTCGCATCCACAGCGCAGACGTGCCCTGGATGTCCAGCAGCTCCAGAAGCGACTCTCTGTCGACGCGGCCTTCGACGTTGATGCCCAGCGACTGCATCTCCTTCCTGAGCTCCTTCAACCGCAGGCCTCGCATCCGAGCCAGCTCCGCAGCGAATTCGCGGTCCTGCTTCCGAGGGAATGCGTTGGCAAGGCCGGCGCGTCCCCAACTGGGCGTTTTCTCAACCACCCAGAAGAGCTGAATACGAGCTTACAGGCACGCTGACGCTTCGAGCAAGCCAAGACAAATCCAGGTACGGGTAGAGCGGTCACTCGTTGTACCAGTGAATTGTTGTACTCTGCTGTTAAATGTGTTGGCTTCCGATGCCGCGCAAAACGCAACACATTGCTCTGCGTTGCTTTGCCACCGCACCTTCTTAAGAAAGCCACCCGGGTCCTTCTCCGCCTCGTCGGGCGGGCTTGCCCGGCCATCGCAGGCTGCGGACTCGGCGGCGGCCGCGGCCTTCACCGGGTGAAGGCTTGGCAACCCGAAAGACGAGATGGGGAGAGGAGGACTAGGACGAGGAGACGCCAACGGGCAGCAAGCCGATGAGCGTGAGGACGAGGAGAAGGACAACGACGAGGAGGAGGACGAAGACGAGAAGGACATGGAGGAGCACGAGAAAGACGAAGTGCAGGGGGGGGGGGGGGCGCAACACAGAAGCAGCCGCCCGAAAGCTCCCGAGGTGTGCCAGGCAAGGGGCTCGCCAGGGAGAGAGGGGGCCCGGCTCCTGCCCTGGGAACCTCGCCATTGAAGGGGCCCTGGGACATACAAATAAATCGGCATCAGTAATTGGATCCCCCACATTTTCCCATGTTTCCTGGGTTTTCGTTTTCCCCCCCCCCACTTCCCATAGTTCCCCACATCTCCTGGGGGATCGACGATTAATCGTGTCTGTGTGTTTCTTTCCCTCCTGAACTATTGCGCCCACGGTGTCGTGCGGACCTCTGTGAATCCGTGTGCGTAGATGCCAGGGCGACGAGGCCTGTAGCACATCCACCGCCCCAGCCCTAGCCAATCCTGGGCCCAGGAGGCGCCCTCCCAGCTTGGCCAGGGCGGCACATGCACTGCCCCTCGGCCCGGAGATGGGCCAGGCCTGGGGCAGTGGATCTGTGCAGGTCCCGTCGCCCTGTGTATCCTTGAGAGCCGCCCATCATGGGGGGGGGGGGCAGTGGTGACCTTCGGCGACTGGGCCGCCGAGTCCGTCGCCGCGGGAGAACCGCCGCCTGCCAGGGCCGCCGCCCCCTGCGTCTCGAGCAGCGCTAGCAGCGACTCCTTCTGGCCGAGGGGGCCAACTGGGCTGTGCTGCGCAGCCCCCTCCCCCTCCCTCCCCAGACGTCCTTCAGCGGGCGAAGAACGGTAGAAAATATTGTGTGTTCCGCCGTCGGCGACACCTGCCCCTGGTCGGCAAGAAAATTCATACCTCATACCCCAACGGTGCCATCGTAAGGGCATCAAATTTCAAGCCGCCCTGGGACAGGCGCCCCCGACAGCGAATACATATATATATATACACATATACTAGAATCATCGCGCGCGCTTCGCGCGCGCTCAGGTTCTAGCAGGCTCCAGGCCTTCACGAATTCATTGCTGGTCCACTGAAGTAGTGGACCACAGTCCACGCATGCCAATCTGCATTCCGAAAAGCCTTCGAGGAAAATGGTTGAGTAGGGGGGCGGAGGCCGTGCGAATCGGGTTCCCAGAAGGCCTTCTGGGAGCATGGGTTTGGGGCGTCTTGGAGAGCCTGTTGGGGCGTGCCGTCGTCGTCGTCGTCGTCGTCGTCGTCGTCGTCGTCGTCGTCGTCGTCATCGCATATTGGGGCGCGCCGTCGTCGTCGTCGTCGTCGTCGTCGTCGTCGTCGTCGTCGTCGTCGTCGTCGTCGTCGTCGTCGTCTTCGTCGTTCCGTCGTCGTCGTCGATGCACTTGGGGCAACTTTGTGCGAAACGATCTGCGGAGGGCCGCGAGAAGGCGATCAGTCATGTTCCCAATCAACTTCCCAGACAGCTCTCCTGTAGCATGATGGTACTTCGAAGCCTCCGGAGACTCGCGGGCCCATGATGAACCATGTCCCCGGAAGGCTTTCTGGGGACATGGTTTGTTGGGGTGTGTTGGGGGGTCTCTTGGGTGTTCCCTGGGGGCCTCTTGGAGGGCTCCGGGAACTCTCGGGCCCATGATGAACCATGTCCCCGGAAGGTTTTCTGGGGACATTGTTTCTTGGGGTGTGTTTGGGGGCCTCTTGGGCGTTCCGAACTCCCTGGGAGCCCCTTGGGGGTCTCTCGGTGCTTCCTGGGGGCCTCTTGGGCGCCTCACGGGGCTTCGTGGGAGTCTCTTGGTGGCATCCGGGGGCCCACAGGCGGCCTCGAGGGCCAGAGACATCGAAATATCGGTTGGCGGTCCCCCTCTGTGCCCTCTCTTGGGGAGCTCTTGGGGCACAGTTGGGTTGTCTGGGGAGCCTCCTGGGCCGTCTTGGGGCCCTCTTCGGGGCCTCCTGGCCCGTCTTGGAGCGACCTGAAGGGCCTCCGAGCGAGGCCGTGAGGGAGCGCTGGGAAGCGGGGAAAGCGAGAACGCCTAAATCCTGCAAAAACCATCGGAAAATTAGTGAATCTTGCCTCTAAAGGCCCTCTTGGGGAGCCTCTTGAGTCCGTCCTGGAGCGTGATCGAGTCCTCGTCGGCCGTCTTGATGGCAGCTTGGGCGTCTTCGGGGCCTCTTGGGACCGTCTAGGGCCCTCTCGGGACCTCTATTAGCCTGTCGTGGCCTGCTTCGGGGCGGGCCCGGGCCGCCTCGGGACCCCTCTGGGTCTTCTCTTGGCGCGCTCTTGGGGCACACTTGGGTTGTCTGGGGAGCATCCTGGGCCGTCTTGGGGCCCTCGTCGGGGCCTCGTAGGCCTTCTTGGAGCGATCTGAAAGTCCTCCGAGGCCGTGAGGGAGCGCTGGAAAGCGGGAAAGAGAGAACGCCAAAATCCAAAATATTCGGAAAACGAATGAATCTTGCCTTCCAGGGCTCTTTTGGGGAGCCTCTTGAGTCCGTCCTGGAGCGTGTTGGAGTCCTCGTCGTCTGTTTTGAGGGCAGCTTGGGCGTCTTCGGGGCCTCGTGGGACCGTCTTGGGTCCTCTCGGGACTTCCTTAGCCTGTCGTGGCCTGCTTCGGGGCGGGCTCGGGCCGCTTCAGGAGCTCTGGCCCCCCCAGCGCAACCCCTGGTGGGCACCGATGGGGGGAACAAGCAGCGGCCCGCCCCCCCCCCGGGCCTACTCCGAGATAGAGAATCATGTTCCCGGGAAGCTTTCTGGGAGCATGATTTGTTCGGGTCTCTAAGAGGGGGGCCTCTCGGGGCTGCCTTGCCAGCAAACCTATTGGAAACATGGTTGGGGTGGTGGGCGGAAGCCCAAAGAATCATGTTCCCGGAAAGCTATCTGGGAAATACGATTCACCGAAGTGTCTCGGGATTCCGCAGGGCGCTTCCCTGGGGGCCCCTTGGGGGCCTATTGGGGCTTCCGGGGGGCCTCTTAGGAGCCTCACGGAACTTCTTGGGAGCCTCTTGATGGCCTCCGGAGGCGTCCTAAGAGACTCTCAGGCCGGAGACCTCGAAATGTCACGCTCTTCGGGCCCTCTTGGGTCGCTCTTGGGGCTATCTCGGGGCGCTCTCGACGCCATCTTGACTTATCTGGGAAGCCTCCTGTGCCGTCTCTGGGCTTTCTTGGGAGCCTCTTCGGCCGTCTTGGAGTGATCTGAATGGCCTCTGACGCGGTCTGGGACCGTGGGGAGGCGGAACATGGGAGAGCGCAAGAATGCTTCAAAAACCATTGGAAAATTAATGATGTTCGGCTTCTGGGGCGCTTTGGAGGGGCCTCTGGAGGCGCTCCTGGGGCGTTTTAGCGGCGTCGTCGGCCGTCCAGAGGGCCATCTTCGGCGTCATGATTTCGAACGAGGCCCTCTTGGGCCTCCCTGAGGCCGTCTTGGAGGCCTGCTGGGCTGGCTTTTGGGCCTCTTGGGCCGTCTCGGGGGTTTCCGTGAGCCCCACAGGCCGACCCTCTTGGGCCGTCTGGGGCCCTCTTAGGTCTCTCTTGGGTTGTCTTGGGGCTCCTCGGGGGCGTCTGGGGCACTGCGAAGACGAAGCAAAGGAGTATGCTGAATATGTACGTTTTACTACGGGGACCGGCTGAATTTTTCCTCTTGAAGGCCCTCTTGGGGCCCTGTTCGGCCATCTTCAAGCCATCTCGGGCCCTCTGGGGCCTCGCTGAGGCTGTCCTGGGGCCCTCTAGGGGGCGAAGGGGCCCTGGGAGCCTGGAAGTAATGTTCCTGGAGAGGCTTCCGGGAACATGATTTCGAACGGGGCCCTCTTGGGCCTCCCTGGGGCCGTCTTGGGGGCCTCCTGGGCCGGCTTCGGGGCCTCTTGGGCCGTCTTGGGGGGTTCCGTGAGCCCCACAGGCCGACCCTTTGGGGCCGTCTGGGGCCCTCTTGGGTCTCTCATGGGCTGTGTTGGGGCTCCGCGGGGGCGTCTGGGGCACTGTGAAGACGAAGCCAGCGAGGATGCCGAAAATGCATGTGTTACAAAAAAGAAATGGGCCGACTTGTGCCTCTTGAAGGCCCTCTTGGGGCCCTCTTCGGCCATCTTCAAGCCATCTTGGGCCCTCCTGGGCCTCGCTGAGGCTGTCCTGCGGCTCAGTAGGGGGCCCTGGGAGCCCGGAAGTAATATTCCCGGAGAGGCTTCCGCGAGCATGATTTCGAACGGGGCCCTCTTGGGCCTCCCTGAGGCCGTCTTGGAGGCCTCCTGGGCCGGCTTCGGGGCCTCTTGGGCCGTCTTGGGGGGTTCCGTGAGCCTCTTCAGGCTTTCGTGACCATCTGTACGGCCCGCCCAGCCTGTCGTGGGCAATTTGGAAGCGGCCCGGAGCAGTCCCGGGGTCTGTGACCCCCCAAAGGTTCGGAGGGGCCCCCATGGGGGATGACGGCACCGATTTTGGCCCCCCCCGGCCTACACACACACAAACACAAACACACACACACACACACACACACGCGGCTCAGTAGGGGGCCCTGGGAGCCCGGAAGTAATATTCCCGGAGAGGCTTCCGCGAACATGATTTCGAACGGGGCCCTCTTGGGCCTCCCTGAGGCCGTCTTGGAGGCCTGCTGGGCCGGCTTCGGGGCCTCTTGGGCCGTCTTGGGGGTTCCGTGAGCCCCACAGGCCGACCCTTTGGGGCCGTCTGGGGCCCTCTTGGGTCTCTCATGGGCTGTGTTGGGGCTCCGCGGGGGCGTCTGGGGCACTGTGAAGACGAAGCCAGCGAGGATGCCGAAAATGCATGTGTTACAAAAAAGAAATGGGCCGACTTGTGCCTCTTGAAGGCCCTCTTGGGGCCCTCTTCGGCCATCTTCAAGCCATCTTGGGCCCTCCTGGGCCTCGCTGAGGCTGTCCTGCGACTCAGTAGGGGGCCCTGGCAGCCCGGAAGTAATATTCCCGGAGAGGCTTCCGGGAACATGATTTCGAACGGGGCCCTCTTGGGCCTCCCTGAGGCCGTCTTGGAGGCCTCCTGGGCCGGCTTCGGGGCCTCTTGGGCCGTCTTGGGGGGTTCCGTGAGCCTCTTCAGGCTTTCGTGACCATCTGTACGGCCCGCCCAGCCTGTCGTGGGCAATTTGGAAGCGGCCCAGAGCAGTCCCGGGGTCTGTGACCCCCCAAAGGTTCGGAGGGGCCCCCATGGGGGATGACGGCACCGATTTTGGCCCCCCCGGCCTACACACACAAACACACACACACACATACACACACACACACCACACACACAGATTGCACCGTTCTTCGACCGCTGAGTCCTCGCAAGAAAACGGGAAGGGAAGCTCATTCTTCCCCTGGCGCGCCAAGGCCGCGGCAGGGGCGTCACCAGGCTCCGATCAAAGAGATCTGCGGGAACCTCTGAGCATCGCGCACGCAATCTTTTCACGACTTGATTCGCGTCGTGAAACAGACGCGACGGATTTGTTCCATGTGTTTGTAATGTTCGGCCTCCTGCGGCTCGAACTGGGCCCTGGGGCCTTCAAGCAACGAGTGCTCGGGAGGAGCAGCTGGCCCCGTGGAAGGAGTCCAGGTCCAGGCCTCTGGGGCCCACGCCGCGAGGAACCGCTCCTCGACGCGGACAGCGCACACCACAGGTCCCTTTGGGGTCACAGCCTTGGGAGGGGAAGGGGTGGAACGGAAGGCGATCGGCTTGCTTCGGCCGGTGGATCTCCTCCCCTGCGCACTGCGGCCGCCGTTCGACACCCGAGCCACGAGCCCTCGATAGGCCGGCGGGCCGAAGGAGCCAAGAGACGGCCCGCCAGTCGCTGGCCACCTAGAGGCCGGTCTCGGCCCCAGGGGCTGCCAGCAAACGGCCCAGCATGGACAGCTGACTCGAGCTGGGCGTTAGTGAAAGGTGTGGGCGGTGGAAAGATGCGGGGGCAGAAACGTGCTCCGTTTTTGCCCGTTTTGGGCCTAATGGTGTGGGCGGTGGAAAAATGCGCTGTAGAAGCGTGCCCCGTTTGTGCCCTTTTGGGCACCGGCTGGGGCATACCCCCTCTTCACCGCCCCACCCCATTACTCGACGCCCGATCGAGGAGAGGAGTCGCGAGGTCCAGGGGTCCACGTCTCGAACGAAGAACTCGCGCCGCCGGAGCTCTGGGAAGCGCCCCTCCTCCCCAGACCCACGGCGTCGTGACCACCGTTCCGCGGCATCGGCCCCCAGAGGTCTGGACCCCTTCCCTGGGCCCAGCATTTCACCAAGGCCTCCACGGCCACGCGTGGACGGCCAGGATTCTTGACTGCGCTCTCACCAGAGCCCCTTCGGCCGCCCTCGCCATTTGCGTGCAGGGGGCGCCCTCCTGGCTGCAGACCGCGCTGGTGAGATCGTGCTGCTCTTCACCCGGAGCCGCTCTCTGGCGGTGCCGGGGCCCTGCGAGGGAACCCCGAGGAGGCCGAACACATCGACCACGAAAGGTGCGCGCCCTGACTTCTTCCCCGACGCGAGAGCCGCCGCTCCGAGGTTCGCGCGAGGCGGAGAGGCTCCTTGTCCAGGCACCCCTCGGTCGAGACGCCGAGGGCGCGCAGCTCGTCCCGCAGGGCGCGCGCCTGAGGGCAGAGCGAGCCCACCCCAAGGCGAGCCCGGAACGAGGACAACATCTAGAGGGAAAAGAACTATGCACATGCACCGATTCTGGCCAGGCCCATCTTGAGCCCAGGATCGGTGCATACGCCCTCCTACCTTGGCCAGGAAGGCATATGCACCGATCCTGGGTCAAAAATGGGCCTTGCCAGGATCGGTGCATGTGCATAGTTCTCTTCGCCCGAACATCGGGCGAGGGTGACTCGAAACATCTCCGAGATCCGGCGGCCCTGGGGGAAATCGGAGGGCGCCGCGGCCCTCGCAGAGCGCTCCGGGGCGCTCTGAGCGCGCTCCGGGGCGCGCTGGAACGGAGTTGTCCTCGTCCTGGCCCAGCCGCCGCTGGGACAACCTCGGCCCGCCAGCCGACCTGCCCCCCTGAGGAGGGCATGCCCGGGAGGTCTTCGCCAGAGCGATTCAGCGCTGTTGCGCCCGACTGCGTGGTCACTGAGCTGGGCTGCCCCGGATAGATGCAGCCGGTCTGCGCATCGGACGGGATTCGGCGGAGTGACATGTGAATGAGGCGGGTTCGGCTGTTTGTCGAACGCGGATATACCAGCGCCGATGCCGAATTTGCCTTCCCGAAATTTCCATCCTACCTCCCACGCGGGCATGAGTGCCGTCGCCTTCGGGCTTCCAGTCCCCTAAGACTCGACGACGCGCTACGATATAGTATCGTGCTGAACCGCAGGCAGCGCGGCGCCTCTCGAGCCACATCGGTCCGCGAGGGCCGCGGGGATCGAAGCAAGGCGGCGCGGGGAGTCGCGCGGCAGGGGATGGTCACCATGTGCCCCGACCCCTCGCCACGGATGCTTTCGCGGCGGCGAGGCCGTGCACCCTAGGGGCACCGAGCATCCCCTCTCGCTCCAAGCCCGGGGGCCGAGTGGACCAGATTGCCATCTGGTCCGACGGAACTTATTCGTTGCCAGATGGACCGACTCGCGATCCTGACTGGGCCGATTCGGGATCCAGACTGAGACCGACTCGCAACCCAAAACGGGCTGGATCGCGATCTGGACGTCTCCTTGGTGGGGGAGCCCAGAGAGGTGCCGATGTCGCTATGTACTCCCCGGACCTCTCCCGGGGTGCGTCCTGAACAGGATTTCGAGGCGAATCCAGCGGTGGCGACGAGGGCCTCCCAGGAGGCCCAAAAACGGGAAAACCATGCCAGGGTAGTGGTATGGGTACATGTTTCTCCTCTGAACCTAAATCGCGAAGCGAGCCAATGCCCCGAAACCAAGACACACCGCCCCGTCCGGAAGAAATGCTCGCAGGCAATTGTTACCCCCATTCCCAGAGATCCGCCCGACATCTCAGAAAAAGGGGGGGAACCCTGGGATACACCCTAAGGGGGCTATTCGGACGCATCCCTTATCAAGGACGGACGCAATCCCATCGTATATACTTTGGTTGGGCCTCAAACTTCCTGGTCCAATCGACAACCTGCCAAAGCCTGGGATAGGGCCAGGTGTCGATAATCTGCGACCAAACCTCCCAAAGCCTCCAAACACCGCCCCACGCCTCCCCAAGCCTCCAATCCAAGACCTCCTAAAACATCCAAGGCCTATTCAATGCAACGCCCCGATGTCTCAAAGGCCGGGATGTTTCCTTTCTGGCGGCGGCGAGCGCCCGCAACCCGCGGAGGTCGAGCAGTCGCTGCTGCGCGGCGGCCTCCAGCTCCACCGCCTTGGCGGCGGGCGCAAGGCATTCGCGGCGCGGACAGGGGGGGTAGGGGAAGGAGGGAAGGCTTCCTAAGAAGAGCTGCTCCTTAGAATTGGGCGCCCGAGTTATCCGGGGTAACTCGGGTCCGGGGTAACTCGGGTTCGGGTTCCCGAAAAAGCGAACCCGAGTTATCCCTGACCCGAGTTACCCCTGATGATTCGGGGCTCTGGGCGCCCGAGTTATCCGGGGTAACTCGGGTCCGGGATAACTCGGGTTCGGAATCCCGAAAAACGAACCCGAGTTAGCCCTGACCCGAGTTACCCCTGATGATTCGGGGCTCTGATAGAAGGCGCTGGCCCTGCATCTACAGAGAAGGCCCGCCCCTTCTAAGAAGTAAGGGGTGCTTCTAAGAGGCCTCCCCCCCTACCCTAACCCCCTTGGCGCGTGGCCGAAAGGGAGGGGGAAAAGGCGCGCGGGGAGGGAGAGACCTCTCTCAGAAAGCGGCAGGCGAGCCCAGGATCGAATCGAGAAGTCGGATCGGCGATCGACACGAATCGAATCGGCGGGAATCGGCAGCCGATTCGGGAGAAGTCGAATCGGCGGAAATCGGCAGGCCGGTGGGCCTCCATTGAGAAATCGGATCCAAAATCGGAACTCGAAGTCGACTCGAATCGGTACCGGAATCCATCGAAATCGAATCCAATCGAATCGGAGGGATCGAGATGAGTCCTGCAAGGGAGGGAGGGAAGGCGCACGGGGAGGGAACCCTTTCTCAGCAAGCGGGGGGGCTTTGGGAAGCCAAGTGTTGGGTGCTCGTCTTTTTCCCTGTTGGCAAAAAACAACTTGAGGCCTCGGTCGCTCAAAGTCTTCTACCTCGGCGTGGGGGAAGCGGTGCCTCGTCGCAGCTCCTGGGAATTGCGTCCAAGAGGGGGCCACTAGTCCAGCGGCCTCGGGAGCGACCACAGGTGCATGTGCTGCCAGAGGGGGCTCCGCACATCTCCAGGGTCAGATTCCGAACTAGAATCGTGCAAATCTGTCAGGAAGGGCCCAAGGGAAACCCCCGGCATGAACGTCAAAGAGGTGGGACCGTCTGAGAAACCCTCCCGGCTTCAAACAAGTACCCCACACCTTTTTGGGAGACGAGCCCCCTTCGCCCCACCCCTCCCCAGACCTCTGGCGCTGTGCTCGTCTCAGAACTTGGGCCCCCTGGAGGCGTCGACCCCTTCCCCCAGGCAGGCGCTCGTCCTGCATCTGGCGATGGCCGCCAGAAGCCGGAACTAACGACGTACGGCCAGACCTAGGACAGGAGAACATCCTTCAAAAACATGAGACCCTCCGCCGGCCAAGCTGGAAGAAAATTCGAGGGCGCCCTCCTCCAGGATGCACAATAAGATCCAACAAGCACGAAGAACTTCAGGGTACCCTCCCCGAACCGACCTTGATCTTGTCCCTCAGTCTGAACGTAGCCCAAAACCTCCCAGGGATAGCTTGCCCTCCCAGACAAGTTGCTGAGGAATCTCTCGGGCCCGGCAACGGGCCCCAGATATGCCGACGTCAAGGAAGAATTCCAAGACCGACACCCGCAGCTTCTTTTCGGCAACGGCAAAGACTGGGCACCGCTACCCATACCCACTCCCCGTGGCCACGCCGCGATTCGCGTTGGCGCCGTGCTGGAATTCCTCCAGTCCGCGAAGGTGGTCGAGCGGCTACATGGCGAGTTCTTTCTTTCCTCTTCCAGGAACCCTCTTCCCTTCGGGGAGCGGTCCCCATCCGCCTCCCTGAAGTGATTCTCTGGCAGGAGCCGCGGAGTGGCAGAGGGTCCACTTTCGCCCAAGATGATTTCAAGAGGGCCTTCGCTGCTATAAATTAGCGTCCAAGGTCGCTCAATATAACAAAAGCTGGTTCTGTATACTCTCCGACATGGGTCTAAGAGGCCCAGCGAGGGCCACGAAACGGTTCCAAGTGCTCTCGGGACCCCCGCAGGACCCCCACAAGAGGCCCAAACCCTTCAATAACCCGAGGAAGATCATTGACGTATGCCTTCTCGCCTGTCCGCTCCAGGCGCGGCTTCGAGGCTTCAGGATTGCCCAGAAAGAGAACCTCAAGAAAGGCCCAATGGGCCCCGCAGGCGGTCCCGAGGGCGCCCAAGATCGACTCCAGGGCGACCCAAAAGTGCCCCAAGAGGCCGTCTTGATTGAAGGGGCCGTGGGACACACGCAAAAATACACACAAATAACAGGATTCCCCATATGTTCCTATATTTTCTGGGTTTTCGTCTTCCCCCCAACTTCCCATATGTCCCCAGATTTTCAGGAAATCGACGATTAATTGTGTCTGTGTTTTTTCCCCTCCTCATTGATGGCCCCAGGGGGGGGGGAGCAAACTTAGGATCCCTCCTTTTGATCGCGGTGAGAGCCCCCGAGGGACCCCAGGATGGCCCCAGGCGGGCCCCATAGGGCCCCAGCGCCTATCGAGAGAGCTCCAAGAGAACCGCCACCCCCAAAAAAGAAAGTCCCACGAGGGCTCCAAGAGGCGACTCTTGAAGGTTTTGTCCTCGTCCTCGTTGTCCTCCTCCTCCTCCTCTTCTTCCTCCTCCTTTTCCTCCTCCTGCTCCTCCACCTCCTCCTCCTTCTCCCCCTCGACCTCGTCCACATCAATCCCTCGTCGTCTTTCGTGTGCCTTGTCCTCCTCTTCCGCGTCGTCGCGGTCGTCGTCTTCGTTTTCCTCCTCATCGCTCGCTCGCTCGATAAAGGCCGTGCGAATTTCGCCCGAGTCAAGGGCGCAATGAAAATTGGAAGGGGGCATGCGCGGATGCAAAAGAGGGAGAGAGAGAGAGAAACCAAAACAACAACCACATATAGAAACAACGACAGAAAGAAAGAGAGGACAAAAAGAGGAACATAGAGAGAGAGAGAGAAAGATACTGAAAAAGAGGACGAGAAAGATAACCACATGTATAAGAAAGAGAAAGAGAGAGAGAGAGAGAGAGAGAAAAAAAAGAGAGAGAGAGAGAGAGAAACAATCACAAACAAACTGAAAGAGAGAGAGAGGGAAGGAAAAAGAGAGGGAGAGAGAAAGAAGAGGAAGGGTGACGAAACCCCCAGGAGCTAAGCCAGGCATCTCCGCACTTGTCGCAGGGAGCAAAAGGGCGGACAGAGGGCGGGGGTCAGCGCCGAGAGCCACCGAGAGGGGGCCCAGGAACCTGGGCCCGAAGCCGGGGACCAAGAAAAGGACCCAGGCCAGCAACCTTCAGCCCTCAAAGTGGCCAGACCTGGTTCGAAGGGCTCAATGGGGTCCTCAAGGGCAA